GGCAGCGAACGCGTCCCCGGGTGCCACAGCCCGCAGCGCTCAGGGGGCTCAGCAGGAGACGGGCCCGGTCCTCGCTGACACTACGTGACTTCTCCAAAAGCCCACACGGCTCCCCGCAGCTTCGCTTTGAAGACAGCCCTTTGGTGCCTGAAAGCCAGGAAGTAACGGACAATGGCCAGTTCCAGATCTACTCTGGGACATGACGGGGGGACAAAGTGGCCTCTTGGCTTTTTATTCCTGTTTGTTTGTTCTGATCTTTTGTCCTGTTTGCACGTGGAAATTCTTGAGGCAGATAAGAAATATTTTTATTTAAAATAAATAATCCAGAGAGCTTTCCAACTGAATGGACTTACTTGGAACAACCCTATTCAAAAACAGCTCCTTGAACAACCTCTAGCCTTAGTGGTCTCCAGTTTCTCAGCAGCTTTTTGTATTTGTTTAACATAATATAGGTATCAGAGTATTATTTCTTAATATATTTTTCTCTTCTTTTTAGTGATGTTATCAATTAACATGGTATAGGCACTGCTCCTGCATTTATTCTTCATAAAAACACATTTATACAGCCTTTCTGCTGCATTCAATAGTAATTAACACCAAATAGAAGTGTTACATTTAAATGTTTTAGTCAAATGTAAAGTCTGGGTACTTCTCTACAGAATAAATTAGTATCTGCAGTTTCCACTATAACTTACATAATAAGCATCTCTTCAGTTCTGTACTTCAGGGTTGAATTTGCATCGTTGAATCAATTACTTTGTTATTCTTGAACAGTCATTTTTTTTATGTTTTGCATATCGTATGCTGAAAAGCTTTTTTTTTTTTGGTGTTTGCTTTTCATGAGATAGAGAAAGGGCACATGCAGCCCAGTCTAACCAGAGGAGAGGGAAGTGGAAAGGCTGTAGAGCTCCCTGACGTCAGTAACCATATTCCCTCCTCACTTTCTTGCTCTGCCTGGACTTGCATGTCTCACAGCTTGTCATCACCTGGGATTAAGAGGCAATAATGGCACTAGAGGATGATAAATAATATTGGTCTCCTCTCTCACCACCACCACTCTCAAAATAAATCCATCTTATAGTCTTTCTGACTAAACAGAAGCAGAGCTGTAGCCCAGGGAGGATTGCCTGAGATGAGGCTGCAAGGGAGTGGAGAGAAGCACTTTATCACAGCTCATTATTTGAGGAGTAGTCAAGGAGGGACTCTGATGATACATCAGACTGAGCTGAAGTCCATACCACTAAAGCTGGACTGTTAAGCAGAAATGTCTCTCTTTTTCAACTTCAGGGGAATGGGCAACTAGTGTGCATTTTTACAGGGAAAACTTCTAGACCACTGGAACAAAATTGTTGCCCTGCTATTTTTCAGCACCCCAAGTGGGCACACAGCACTAAGCCAGGAAAGGGCAGCTTCAGAGAGTCTGCCTGCACACTGCAGAGAAAAAAATAATGCTGAGACATACAGCCAGGACCCCCTGCATTTTTTATCTCTGGATGAAATGAACAGCTTTTATGTACAGAGATCAAAAGTATTGATGTTATCGGCCTGGAAAGATAACTTATAGATCAGGTGCTCCCTGTGCATTTTTCCTTAGGTCAGCAGTTTGTGGAAGTGGCAGAAAGTTAGGATAGTATAAACCTCACTATCAGTCAATATTCAGAAGTCTTTGAAGGGCTAAGATATACACTTATCTAGAGTGCTGGAGCCAACTGTTTTGGACAGTATGAAGCAAAATCAATAATAATAAAAAAATACCTCTTTTCTTGAGGCAAAGTACCATCCTAAGAAAAATAATGAGAAGAGAGTGTTTCTGACTCAATCACGCTCTTGCTTGCAGAGGAGAGTGGGTTTTAGGCTTCCTGATTTAAAATTGTGTCATGACCCACTTGTTATGAAGTAGGTTAGTCTGCGGTATATTGAACTAAATCAGACAGGCCAGGCCAAAAGTAGTCTGGGCTAAGGGAAAGATGTAGAAAGCCACTTCCTATTCCTGTTATATTAGTAATGGGTGTAATGAATTGTTACTAAGGGGAGTTTTTGCATGTTGTCCTTTCTGTCACGCTGTCCTTGCTCACAATTGTCAGGTCGGTCAGATGCAGGAGGATTGTGCTCTGATATTTCCTTGTTTCTGGTTGGTTAATTACATTGATTTAGGTAATTTTTTCCAAGGTTCTTCTATTCTGGTGTAGATAACCTGCTTCCTCTTGCAGCAGACACAGCTATTTACATACACTTCTCTGTGCATTGTTAGAGCTCCTTCTGACTTCTGCTCTGTGATTTCCAATGCTAATCATGACACCACAGCCATGAAAAATGTTATAACTATATTACTTGTATAAAGAACATGATCTTCTGGGAGCTGTTTGCTAGGTCAGAGCTATTCTGGGAGAGACAGCCGACAGTGTGCTATAGAACAGACAAAATTAACTCTTTCACTAATACTGTTTTTCATCTTTGCATTGCTGTTTTCATCAATTTAAAGTTATCTATAATAATAATAATAATAATAAATTAATAGTTGCTGTTTGCCAAGAAAGTGTGTCACTTACCAGTTTTTGTTCACATGAATGTTTAACTATATACATTCTTACTTGCGTCAGTCAAATTTTCACTTGGCTGAAAAAAGTGTTTCCTTGCTGTCTACTTTTGAAGGGAGAGCTTTTCCTTTTAACCTTGCCAAGCTGAATCTTAGACTTGGCAATAAAAAAATCTCAAAGCAAAACAAAACAAAACAAAAAACACCCAGT